TTTTGCCGTTGCTATGGTTATGGTGATGACACCTGAATCCGAAGCTTTGTTGAATCTGTTGAATGGAGGTGGAGGTAATGGCGGTCTGCTCGGTGGTGTTTTGGGAAATAACGGTTTACTGGGAGGTATCTTAGGATCAAACGGTTTACTCGGAGGTCTGTTGGGACAAAATGGTTTAGTTGGAGGTCTATTGGGATCAAATGGTTTAGTCGGCGGTGTTTTGGGAGGAGACAAAGACTCAGTTGAAGCTAGTGCCAATGTCCTGGCTAAGCTGAACGCCATCATTAGCGACGGAGTTGCCACCAAAGCTGAATTGGGAGCTGCCTTGGGTATAAGTGGAGCAGGATTAGATGGTCTTATTGCTGATATTGATATCAATGGTGAGTAAATAACTATATTAATTGTTTAGCATGTGTATTGTTACTAGCTCAAAATACACGAATAAATCCAAATACATTAATTGTTCACTGGGTAACGGCATTTCTATTGTTAATAGGTCAACTTTAAATATGCACGTACATATATATAATTATAACGTTCTCCACGGAAGATGCGCATTCCGTCAAATAAAGTGTACAACCCCATTTGTTTCTCTACAATCAATTGAAAGCCAATTCCTTGAACTCGCAAAGCTAGAGATTATAAAGAAATAGCCGATGTTATTTTTCGTCCCTACATCATTAATTCCTATTTTTTCAGCTGATGCTAAGATTAATTTGAAAGAACTTTTAGATTTGGAAATCCTCGTTATCTGTAAGTATATTGTGGCTAATTGTATCAGGCCCGTAGCTACTAAAACAATGCAACTTGTAGGACAAAGCCTAAATGGTCCAAGCACAAGAATGCTTTTGGTAACAAAAGCTCGTATCCTTATTCTTCATAATTTATCACCTTTTTTTCAGTACAAGGTCTTCTAGGTTTGGATCTAACCAACATCTTAGGTAACCTTGGTAACTTGGCTAACCTCGGTAACATTGGAAATCTTGGTAACCTAGGAAATGTTGGTAACGTTGGTAACCTACTAGGTTAGGATGAGGAATGCAGACAATTCAAGACCGTCAAAGATTTAAAATAAATTATAAAGCATAAACTTATCTTTTTTTTAAAAAAACCAGTCCCCCCTTTTAATGACCCATGTCTGCAGCTGAGGGTCAAAGGGGTCACAGTCTCCCATGTGGGGTACATGAGGAGATTTTACCATTTCAAGATGTTTTAGAAGCTGTTTCCTATATATAGAAACCTGTTCATGCCTTAAACCAAACTGATGGAGGGTTAATGATAATTCATTAGACACACCAATTAATCGAAAAAAATAAGGAAACCAATCTTTAAATGATAAAAAAGGAAGTCTGGAATCCCTGATAAATGTACTGCAGTGAATTATATGTGAATCCCTTTGTATCAGATATCTTACAGAATATAAAAAGTCAGATGTTAATTTCCTTAAAAAAAAGAATTTGTGGGAAAAAGGAAAGTGTGCATTGTTGTATCAAGAATGAAGTTTTAATAATTCACGAACAAGGGCAGTAACTCAAGTTTATAGAAAAGCTAAGTTATTTGTGGATAAATAAAAATAACAAATATAGTTTTATCAAAATTTTAATTTTCATACACAATCACAGACTATAATATACAGACACTAAAAATACCAGTTTTATTCTTTAAGATGGGGGTGGGGGCATACCTCCCATTCCTGGTGGCATACCAGCCATCCCTGGGGGTAGCTGTGACCCTGACACGGCAGCATTGGGTCCCAATAACATCTGAAACAGAAAACAAAATTTTATTTTCTTGAACAATGTATGTACAACTTGTAAATGACATAACATGGTTTTTCGCATTTTAACGGTACGACATATAAATATCCCAACCTAACCCTAAAAAAGTCACGTAATAGCATTCTTGACCATCAAAATGGCTTCACGTTCCAGAAAAAAAACTAGCACAGAGTCAGGAAAACAATCCATTATTGTCCATGCATAACATTAATGAAGCTCTCCTATACTGGCTGCTAACAATGGTACAGGAATGATAAACACAATACCCATCGAGACGGTGCAAATAGCCAGTGTGTATACATACATTACGATTCTAGGTCGTAATTAGACCATTTCGCTCATGTTGACGAAGACAGATTTGGCAAGATGCTCTGAATTGCAGGGGGACCTGACCCCAGCGTAAAGCTTCCTACCCCAAAAAACTTTTTGGGTTTTGAAATTATAGTTTTGATGGTTGTATTATAATGAAATTTAATTTGAATTTTTTAATTTGAACTTGCAGCCTCACCTGTCTTTGTTGTTGAAGCTCCTGTTCTTTCATCTGAGCCATTTCCGATTCAAACATGACCGGGAGAATTAGAATTGTAGCAGACGACGCCAGCACCCACAATAAGCCTCGCCCTAGCGTGAAACTTGTTTTAGCCAGACTGAAACTCAAACTAACGGCTGATCCACAAGTTTTTCTAACTCCCTCAGGAAACATTTCTGTCAGTCCCATCAACCTTTCTGATAATGTTTCATCAATGTCCTAGAAATAGAGAATAACATTCAAAACACTGAATTACTAAATTTTAAAAACACAAATATATCTGCACCATTAAATTACCATGTGTTCCCTGAGGCCAGTGTGAGTAACTAATGGAATTTATAATCATAGCTAGAGTGTAAGTCATGCAGTTGCAAAAATTTCATTTAGCATAGTATTCTCACCTTGAAGATAACCATTTGCTTAATACAACAGTCGTGCCCCCTTCCCCCAACAAAATCGAAATTTTTAAAAACATAAACAAAAAGCGGCACAAACCTCGTCATCGTCGTCTTCAATTGCAGGTGGAAGTTCTGACCGCGACAAACTGTCCAGGGGATGCACCTTCGGCCCAAATAAATCACCTTGATCCATGACTTTGTTTTATTTAATCAAATTAAATTATTTCAGCGTGTTTTTGTTGACCGGAAGTACAAGACGACATTGGGCTCCGTACATATTAAAAATTAGTTTATAAATATCATGACACGAAAAAGCATTTTTCCTCCTTTTTTTATTTCAAAAATATAGTTTTAAGGTGCGTTCATCAATGTTTACTGAAGTCAAAAGTGTGCATTTCATAGTACATTTACCAATGCTACGAATAACGAAAATTGAAAATGTAGTCTCGAGTGTCAAGACTGAAAGTAGAGAACTGGACAATATTTCTAGAAATCGAAAGTAAAGAATCCGACTTTCAAATCCAGTGAATTTCAACACTTCCCAATTATCATCGTTTTATCTCTTATGTGGCCCCATTTCCATTGGAACTGAGCAATTGTCATAAGCAGATCTGTTGCTTAGCACAATAAGGCGTCTAAAGATTTAGGCGTATGCGATGTCATCTCTGAGAAATGTAGCAAACTTTATAAAATTCAGAAATTCAAAATGTTGCTCTTTCAAGAATCTGTCAGTGTTAAGCAGAAGATACTGTTACATCAGAAAACAAGATGTGAAATACAATAGAATATATCATTACAGGTATTTCAAATGTTATTGACACTTTGTAAAGCGCCATCAGGTGGAGGCGGAGCCAGGTTTACGTCCGAGATATCTGAGATTGCGCGAATCTCTAACCTAGTTATAAGGTTTTTGCCCGAAAAACTTGCTTTCGGGGCCCCCTCTGCCCCCTCTGCCCCCTCTGCCCCCTCTGCCCCCCTTTTAGCTCCGCCACTGCCTACAACATATGACCATCCCTACCTAACCCTAAAGACGGCAGGTAATAGCATTCTTGACAATCAAACTGGCTTCACACTCGAGAAATAAACTAGCAAAGAGACAGGGAAACAACCATTGCCCATGCATAACAGGAATGAAGCTCCACCATTAGAAGCTAACCACGGTACAGAAAAGATAGAAAACAAAGACAATATGCTCCATGAAGGTTAAATAGCCAATATGTTTCTTGAATATTACTAACTTTCGCCTTGCTTGATGGAAAACTGTAACTACCAAATGATAAAGTGTTTGATCTTAATTTTTCAGAAATCATCGTCCAGTTTTAGAGTTAGTGAGGAAATTATCTTCTAAAGAAATAAATCCTGGCCAAAATCAAAATAAACTGAAAGATGAGAAATCTCCGTATTTATTACAGCATGCAAACAATCCTGTACATTGGTAAGATGTAGGGTTTATCTTTTACTAAGACTGATTTGTACCACATGCAAAAATATGTGAGAAGCTACACATGTCGGACTTAGTCAGTTTAAGAGCGACTCCTTGGTCAGTAAGTCTGAATGGATCATAATCTTCAGCACATAAACACATGAATTTGAACTGGTCTCGAGAGTACAGACACAAGAAAAAGCACTACTTGTCAGTCAGTTGGCTGAAGATTGCACAGCGTGAAAATGTTTCAGGTTCTCTTTTTATATATATTTGTAATTTACTTTACAATTGATCTCTACTTGTCAAACCTCAGCAGGCTGAAGTAGGTCAGTTGTCTGAAAATTGCACAGTGTGAACTCATGAGTAACAACATGTTTCAGGTTCTGTTTAATATTCTAAATATATTGATAATGTCTTTTTTGTCATTTCATAGGATGTAATCCAAATTTTGCAGGTATCCATGGGGAGAAGAAGCGTTTAAAAAAGCGCGAGAAGAAAATAAAATGATATTTTTATCGATTGGCTTTTCGACTTGTCACTGGTGTCACGTGATGGAACGTGAATCTTTCCAGGATGAAGAAATCGGGAGAATTCTAAACGAAGATTACATCAGTATTAAGGTGGACAAGGAAGAACGACCAGATATCGACAGAATTTATATGTTATTTGTGGAGGTTGGGAGATTTTTTATGCAAGGAGAGGGGGGGGGGGGGGGGGGGGATGTCATAGGGACATTTAGAATTTGGTAGAGTAACGAAGTTGGGGGAAAGGGGAAGTTGATAGAAATCTTTCAAGGCTTAATTGAATTTCTTGACATGTATGTTGAAAAGTTTTGAAAGATGAGGTTAGGGGGGGGAGAATGGACTATTTTGAGTTTTTGAGGCTCATCTGTAAAGTTTGTGCCAGATTTGGCTCTATATGCCAGACATGACCGACTGATGACCTCAGTTTTTATAATGCCTTTCAGATACGTATTTTTTGGTATGTGCAACAGACCTCAATCAAGTCAATAATGATATTACGTCTGTCAATGGCTTTGGTTACTTTTAGAAATATTTTTTGAAATATTTCTTGTATCTTTTCAGGCAACATCAGAAGATGGAGGGGGCTGGCCACTTAATGTTTGGCTGACTCCAGAATTAAAACCTGTTTTTGGTGGAACATATTTCCCTCCTGATGGCAATGTCTATAACCGACCTGGATTTAAATCTGTTTTACTGAATATAGCTAATAAGGTACAGTTCTTATCTGGAATCTATTTAAATATATCTGTATCTTAGTTAATTTCTCAAGCTAAGGTGGCGCTCAAGTGGCGCTCAGGTGGCGCTCAGGTGGCGCTCACGCTCAGGTGGCACTCAGGTGGCGCTCAGGTGGAGCTCAGTTGACCCCCTTGACCTCAAACCAAATTTTTTATGTGTCTTTTGATCCATTTTTATTAACTCGTTGCCTTACCCTCGGTATTAACAAAAACCTATTTTTTGGACACTAGGAGAAAGAGTTGATATGCAGGATTTATTTTTTTAGATTTTTTGTAGCCCTTTAGTAAATGTTTTAATTGCAATTTTAAAAATTGGACTAAATTTGTATTATTTTAGTGGAAAGAAGATAGTAAAAGTATATCAGCTGATGGAGCTAGAATTATAGAACTAATCGATAAAGCTACCAAAAACATTCGGGTTATCAATCGACAACGTGTGGATGAAAGACACCTGTCTGGTTGTTATGATGTTTTAACAAGATCGTTTGATTCTGTAAATGGTGGTTTTGATTCAGCACCTAAATTTCCCCGCCCCTGTAAGTTTTATTGTTTATTATCCTTTTCGATAATTCTGATCGCTGTAACATCATCAATTTATTGGTAGTTGGCATTAAACAGTGAGCAAACTGTTTCAAAAATCTGATAAAAATATGATAAATTTTTCGCTAGGAACCGTTTAGCAATTTCTACTTGTCAAAGTGGTAAAGATGTATCTCTAGATGAATTAAATCATTTGATTTAAATGTGTAACTATTGAAAAAACAGAAGAGCTATAGATTTTACTAAATTCTACTAAATTTCCAGTTCTACATGTAGGCGAGCTTCTAGCCCAAGCAAATCTCTGTCGTTCATAATGCATTCTAGTAAAATGGAGAAAAGAAGCCCTTTTGCTTGTAAAAATGGATTTCATTGCTGATAATTTAAATGTCTTCAGGTTATTTAGAATTTTTCCTGCGGTACTATTCCTACAATAGGATGGAGAAGGAAGCGCTAGAAATGGCAGTGTTTACCCTGGAGAAAATGGCCAGGGGTGGAATTTATGATCATATTGGAAATGTAAGGTTGTTTAACTCCTCTTAATGTTGACGCAGGGGCAAACTGAGCAACTATTGGCCCTCAGACTGGGTTTCTATGGACCCCACCCCAAAGTTAAACTGATCGTGGGAATACCCTTCCAGCTTGTAACTTGATCTCATCATACCTATACTCATTTTTCTCATCAAATTAAGATTTTATATTCTGATAACCTTTAACAATCACAAAATAGTGCTATATAGAAATATTAGAACAAAACCTGAAACATGTTATTACTCTGAGTTGTATGTTGTATGATCTTCAAGCGAATGATTTATTTAAGCCTGCGTCTCCACTGAAATTTGAGATCAATTCTAGAACTGTACAAAAATATTAAAACAGAAATTGAAACATGTTTTGTGTTCCAAAAAGTTTTATTGAGTAACAGCATGTCTCAGGTTCTCATTTGACTACTAATTATTGTTGTTAAAAATATGTAGATATTCTGTGTTGATGATGCTTATTTTACGCTGTTTCTAGGGTTTCCACCGTTACTCTACAGACAATAAATGGCACGTTCCACATTTTGAGAAGATGTTATACGATCAAGCTCAGTTAGTTGTTACATACTTACACGCTTATCAGGTTAGCTAAGTCTGTATATTTATATTCCCTGCTTTACAATCTTTCTTTACCAGTGAAACAGAGTTCCATATCCTTCATTTGTGAGTTTTTCCATGACAATTGTTATAAGAATTATTTTTTTAGAATCTGTGTAAGACTGTCTGAAATAAAACATGTATTGTTTGATCAACTAAAATCAACAATTTTGCTGTCTTTTTATAGATAACTAAAAATCAAGAATTGGCTAGAATCGGAAGAAATATTTTAGAATATATTTTACGAGATCTTAGTCATCCTGTAAGTTACTTCTATCTCTGTTTATGTTTTGAGTTCTAGTGAGGTTTTATAGCACAGTCAGTTAGAGCATTGGTTCTTAACATGACATCATTTCCTTGGTTACGTCGAGCAAGTCCGATGGCCTTGCATAAGTCATCTTCACTCATAAATCCACCCAGCTTTGGGTACGGATAATCCAGGAAAGTTCAATGCCTAGAGTTTTGGCTAATGATCAGCTGATAGAAAGGATCCTTAACTGTGAATCTAAGTGTTGTTGTCCTTGTAAAATATAGTTAATTCTTTCGTTCTTGCTTTCTTCATCTCTGAATTTTCTGTGTGTTTTCTCTTTCAACCTAAAGACAATTTCATTATTACCTAATAGCATCTATTGTTTGACACATGCTAAATTCAAGAACAGTATTGAATAAGAAAAAAATAGATATGAAGTGAAATGCTGACTTTGCTAATAACTAACGAGATACGTGACCCTAAGCTTAAACCACACATTTTACGTATTGAAACAAACCGTCTGTTTTTTACCTCCAAATTTAGAGTGGAGGTTTTTACACTGCCGAAGATGCTGATTCGTTCCCTACCCATGATGCAACAGAGAAGACAGAAGGAGCGTACTACACATGGACTAAAGAAGAAATAGATCATCTGTTGTCAGGGACTGTGGAAGGACATGACAACCTCAATTTATCAGAAATATTTTGTTGGTATTTCAATGTTAAAGATGACGGCAACGTGGATCCTTATCAGGTACAAATATTTCATTTTCTGAAAAGATTTTCAATTTCCTTTTAAAGCACACCATGTGGATACATAAAATTGAACAAAAGGTATTGAACTTTCTAGCTAAATGAAATAGATGAAGTCAGCATTAAAGGTTTACTACCTCTTACAACACAATTCAAATTCTCAATCAGCAGACTTACCTGGTGTCAAAACTATCCGAAATAAAATACATATAAATACAGATAATTTTCAAAAACGCTTACAATTTTTGTAAACCATTGCCGTCAAAGTGAAACAGGCTTCAAAAATTTACTTGATTTATAATAATCGTATTTTCCTTTTGCAGGATCCACATGGCGAATTTAAAGGGAAGAATATATTATTTATCAACAAGACTGTTCTAGAATCAGCAGAACATTTCTCCATGACAACAGAACAGTTCCTGGAAGTGATTGAACAATGCCGAGAGATTTTATACACCGAAAGATTAAAACGACCGTGTCCTCACTTAGACACTAAAATTGTTTCTTCCTTAAATGGTAAAGTTTTTTTTCCACTCATTGTTTTGAAATTTCTACTTTAAATATTGATGAAAATGGTCAAGAGTTGATCTCGTTGGTCGTCTAAATATAAACATTAGGGAGGTGGCGTAACATCAAGGGAGGTAATTAGTCTTCAATCCGGGTTCAAACAATTCTGTTTAAACAGACAATTTTTCGTGCAAGACCAATTATTATTAAGGCATTTAACCTAATGCAAGGAGGAAAACTATGGCAGGGCAGTTGTATTAAAGATTAAAAGATCTGTTTGTGAATTAGTAAATTCTGAACGTAACTTGCAAATGCTCATGAAATCAGCTAAAGCATTTTCAGTTTCTGATATCTTAATTTCCCTTCGATGAAACTATTTTGTGTTTAAAATTTTCAGGTTTAATGTTGACAACGCTATCAAAGGCCGGACAAATTCTTGGAGATCAGAAATATGTGGATTTAGCAAAGAAAACAGGGAAATTTATTTTGACTAATTTGTATTCTGGCGAAGTTAGAGAGCTGATTAGAAGTGTATACGTAGATAAAGATGGTAGTGTCACTCGCAGGTAATTTTACTGTTGTCTGTTGGCTGGTGATTTACCAAATTAGCTCCCTTGAACGAGAAAATTCCAACTCAAAACACCTCGATACCTAACTGATGACAATATATCCTACTTCTCCACTAATGTGCCTGTGTGAGGATTGCCACACCCTCCCCCACCCCCACTCTCATGTATCTTAATCCACTGTCAGCTCATCCCACTGTTAGTTCATCCCATTGTCATGTTCATCCCATTATTAGTTCATCCCATTATTAGTTCATCTGTTCGTTAATGTTAAATGCAGTGGACAGAATCAAAGCTTCCTCCTTCCACAGACACTTGACTTTGCCATTATTCCCATACCATACTCGTTATTTTGTTTTTGAATTTTTCAGATCCCCACCTATAGCAGGTTTTTCGGAAGATTATGCATTTGTTATTCAGGGACTATTAGATTTATACGAAACGACATTTAACGGAGAATGGCTGCGAATAGCTAAAACTCTGTCTGATAAACAATCAAAGGTGTTCATGGATCCCTGTGGAGGGTTTTTTGACGGCCCTGAAGCCTCCTCTCTTATTTTATCTTTAAAAGAAGGTTAGTGGCACATTTTGAATATTAATTTTTTTACATTAGATATACCAGAATTCCTCACATAGCACAGAAATCTTTTACTGAACAAAGCATTTCATTGGTTGAATATTAATTGACCTAGAACATGAGATGTATAATAATTTCGTCAGAACCTGCAGTGTCCAACTTACTGATTAGCTTAGTTAAAAAATTCTCATTTGTGAGACTAAGGTAGATTTTGGTCAAACAGATGGCGTAGCTGTCCAATAAATTGCCAGGATGTCTAATAGTAAATGTCTGTAGCAAGCAAATTTTCCATTTTTATTTCAGATTCTGATGGAGCCTTACCCAGCCATAATTCAGTGTCTGCCTTGAATCTTCAGCGTTTGTCGGCCATGTTGAATAACGAGGAACTATATCATGATACAGTGAGACTACTGTATACTTTTCATACCAGATTGGTGGAATTTCCTCGTTCCCTTCCAGCCTTATACTCCGCCTGTTTATTTTTCTTTAAAAAACCAGTACAGGTATAGCTCATTCATTTTTATAATTAAATCAAGAATTTTTTTAACTGGCCCAAGAAGAAATCAATCGGGATGTCGGAATACGCAGAATGTCGGAAAGTTCAGATGTCGGATATCACAAAGTACTAACAACCCGAAATCCAAGGCCCAATGGCCCACCCCTAAATAGCCCACTGTTTGTGAAGGTCTGATCTAAGTCACCTTCACTCATAATACCAGTCAAACAGGTTGCGTCAATGGGTACGGATAAGCTGGGAAAGATCAATGACCAAAGACCAGCTGGATGACAGAGTCCTTGTGAATCTTAAGTTGTTACTCATGTTAAAAGATAGTTGTTTCTTCCTTCTATTCTCTGCCTAATTTTATCATTTTCATTTCTTTGATTTTCTCATTCAAATTTTATTTGTGATTTAACATCTTTTCTTTTATTTTCAGATTATAATAACTGGTAGACTGGACTCGGAGTCAACTCAGGCCATGATTAAAGTCATAAACTCTTTTTTTATTTTCAATAAAGTTGTATTAGTCGTGGGTGACCCCAAATATTCACGATACCTGGAGAGGGAAGTACCAGTTTTGAAGAATTATAAACTGGACGGAGAAGAAACTATAGTGTCTATTTGTGATGATTTTAAATGTCTACAACCTTTGACTTCTGCTGAACATTTACATCGATTGATTGAAACCAGTATGGTTGCAACTCTATAGTTTCTAATGTGTGGTAGCCTATTAAAAATTTTAAAACTCTCTTTGTCATTGTTTTGTTCAGTCTAGATTGGCCTCATGGCTGCAGTTAGCCTTCTTGTGGAGAAAGAAAGTGAAATTCTTAAATCTCATTCAACCCATTCAGTATCAGGATTGTCCACCATGTATTTTTTAGAAAAAAAAAATTAGTGTAAATAAATTGTTTTCTTCTGATTCTAAAAGTCATGATTTTCAATCAGTAATATTCTCCTTAAAGATGCCTTGGGGAACAGGTCGATACGACGGGCTGTTCGATTTGTATATTTCCTATAAGTCTACAGTTCTATGGTGACACTAAGTCCGATGTCCAATTTGACAACAATATGCCCGATTTTACATCAATGCTTTGACATTGGGCGATCTGACTTACTCGCGTCAAACTATACATTTACAAGCATGGCGGCTGTTTATATCAAAAAAGCTCTTTCACAGGCGTTTTTGCTTCGTCAAGCCGTCAGATCAGTTCCTATGTGAGTAATTTATTTAAAATGATGAATTTTGTGACTATTAATCCACGAGCAGTGATATTTAAATGAAATCGTATTGGTAAAACCACATTAAAAAAGGTCTAGAATAAGCTGACAGTGACAGTAGTAGTGCAGTAACAATTTCTTTAATTCAACATCATAGAACTGTACACTGACAGTTCTATGGTTACACTTGCAGTGTTGGTATCTAAACCTCTCCTGTTTGAGGCTATAATTCCTTTGGTGAGATCTTATCTCTTATCAAAGATAGTATCATTCATTCATTGAGCCAATTGACTCATTTTGATTTGAGGTATGCAATGATTATGCCTATAATATAATCCAAAATATGTAGCACACACAAGCATGGCAATATTTTAGCATCCAATTATATGTCCTTAAACACACGATTAAATGCATCCACAAAGTTTTTTGTTTTCCAGTGTTACTCAAGTGAGACACCGTCGTTACGATCCTAGATTCCGAGAACCATCCCTAGATACAGCAGAATTAGCGGAACCGCTATCAGACGACGATGAGAGGAAATATAACCCAATTAAAGCAGCTAAGAATTATGAAACAACTTCAGTATTTTATGATCCTCTACTAGAGTGAGTAGCTTTGTCTAGATCTATGTTTTTGATTAAAGATGATAGACCTTGGCATGAGGGCTCAGTAAAATAATCAAAATAATTATTATAATCTTCCCAAGAATTTATTATCGACCATCGATTATCAAATTTCATAAGCGATTAAATGACAAAGTTATATTTTCTTCCACGTACTTGTCAACAAGTAGTAATCCATTCTACATATTTTAGTTTCCCTTCAGCACTTACCTAAATTAAACTATAGTAGACGATCAAACTCGTGAGTGCCAACATGTTTCAGGTTCTTTTTTGATATTTTTACATCGCTCTACAATTGATTTCTACTTGTCAAACTTCAGTAGACACAGGCTGAAATGGGTCAGTTGTCTGAAGATCTCTACTTGTCAAACTTCAGTAGAGACACAGGCTGAAACAGCTTGAATCCATGAGTTACAACATGTTTCAGGTTCTGATTTAATATTTCCAGCTTGTTATTAACTATTTGATTAATATTTCAGAAAGCTTATCAACATGTTAATGTATAATGGAAATAAAGCAGCCGCTCGAGAAATTGTTGAGGGGGTTGGTACCATTTTATCTTTTAAAATATTGTCTTGTTCACGCGTTGAATTACTTATTGTCTTTTCATTTGTAATATTCTAATAAGATGACGAAAAAAATCTTTTAATCCTTCAATGGCATATTAGAAGAACAATTTATAGATTGACAAGACAATTTTATGGATAGGTGTTTCTACCAATCTAGATACAACTAGATGCTTTTTCCATGTCAGCCCCAAAGACCTGACTCACTGACAAGGCATATTATCTCAACCTGTCAGTCAGGATAAAGTCTTATAGACCTGCGAAACACAAGGGAGGTAAGCCACTCTATCTTATGAGTAATTTTTTTGCATTACAAACAAATGAATCATATCACACAGAGTAAAGCAAAAATATGACTTAAGTATTTTTTTTTTTTCGTGTTTTTATCAGATGTTAGAAGAGATTAAAATGATTCAAGTTAAGAAATATAACCATGCTGGTAGTAAACAGGAACAGGAGGCCATTGAATGTAATCCTTATCTGATCTTCCAACAAGCTTTAGAGAATCTAAAACCTGCCCTAATGATTATTCCTGTTAGAAAGGGTGGCACAGTTTATCAAGTTGGTATCAGGATTGAAATTTATTCCTTTGAAGAGACTGATGCGCCATTTTTTTTATCAATCATACTTTAGTCTCAGAGACAGGAATTTTTTAATAGTGTTCACAGCTCACAGTCGAAATTTGAGCCTTCAAATCCATGTGTGTCCAGAATTATCCGCGACTGAATGTTAAAATGACAACTTGTCAATTTAAGATACTTTGTGATTTATAGAAAAGACGTTATAAAAATAATGAGTAAAATTCTTAGTTAGAAGTATTTTTAAAGAATTATGTGATTTTCTTACATTTCTAGTACTTCTGAAGATTATTTACATATTTTCAAGACTCAAATTCATCGATTCGGGATAATTTCAGGTACCAATGAGTTGTCCACCAAAACGTCAACAGTTTAAAGTGTTTAAATGGTTAGTGGATTTAAATCGAGACCGAGAGAGAAAAATTCGAATGTCTAAGAAATTAGCTATGGATGTAGTAGATGCTTTTCATCATGAGGTATGGTGTTGTCTGATTATTTTCGTCTTTACGATTCGATTTGAACCACATTTAGATTTTAGAAATGAGGGCCTGGCTGTAACATTGCAGTTAAGTAATGTTACGAAAGCACAGGCATGCAGGCTTAACCTTTAGTGAGAGAGTATTGTTTTCCTAGGGTTCTTGTTAGATCTCTAGAATTTCATGTTAACAATTCTCCCTTATGGCTTTCGAGATTTTCTTATATATGTTGCGTTGTTTTAAAATTGATTTATTGTTGTATTTCAGGGAAAGTGTATGAAGAAGAAAATAGAATTATTAAAACTATGTGAAGCCAATAGAGCCTTCGCTCATTATCGATGGTAGACTAGCAGACTCGTCTGGTAGATCAAGACTAGAACTATATGAAAATCCTCAGTTTACTGACGTCAAAACTTTGAGCTATGTTATATACGGATTAAATTCATTGCTTTGCTGTCACCAGACATAATGTGTCAAAATAGATTGTGTAAATTACATGATTCCGTTTCCAGAAATTGATATTGAAGTCTAGAAAAAAAATTGGGAATGATAGTTGGCTTTTCTATAGCTAGAGCTATGCGTTTAAACAGTCTGTACCAATATGAAGTATTTAGTTGTTAGGCATGGACTTGGGCTTTATTATGACATAAGCTATGCAATACAACAATCCAGGCTTGAATGATGTCAAAGTTTTTATGTGGAATTATATAAATACCTATAATAAATTTATTTGATATATTTTACTGGTATTTTTTAACTTTTGTTCTCTTGTGGGGTTATAAAAAATTTTTTATAATATCGATGTAAACTCATTTTTCAAACCCATCCAGAGCAAGAAATATTTTGTAGTTTAACTGTAGTCTGAAAGATAGATATCAAAAGTGTGTTATCTCCCTTGATCATTAAGGATCTTTGTCAGTACTGAATTTCAATCATCCTCAACATTTTCTTTATAATCAGAATTTTCCAATAAAATAAAGATCTGTGTGAATAAAATTCATCATCTAAATTGATTTTGAGGTGAGAAACTTGAGCACAGGATTGCACCAGGTTTTCTGGAAAGGTAGCACTAGCTAATGGTTTTAGCCTTGGATGGTAGGGATTGAGAGCTGACTCTCGGAAGCACTAGTAGAGGCATCAAAATCGTGAGGAGGGTTTGAATCCACAGTACTTAATTGTCTAGCAGACGACAATCCAACTGGCTATTGACTAAGCTATTCCACTGACAAAATTAAGAGAGTGTTTCAAGTATGGGGGGTTCAAATTCTACTCATTGTAAGAAAAATGTGGATGCCAATGCCAATGCTTTAGAGAGCACCCCTGGTGTCTGCTTTCAACAGGCTATACAAACTGAGCTATTATACTGCCAAAGGAAATTTATTCTACTTGGTGCTTTTCGGAAACGCTGGCCACGTGTTAGTCTCTATTCCTTGAGGAGATTTGGACCTACATTACTGAATCACCTTCCAGATGAAAATCAAATTCACTACCAACTGAACTATTTTACCAGAAAATTATTTGCGAGTTTTCTCCTTGTGATTCTGTTCTTATCAATCTGACACTTTGTAACATATTCTGTTTAAGTGTATTAAACTGATTCTACCCAATCTAGTGCAATATTAGAAATTATAAATAAACATGAACACAAGGCAGAGGATATATTTTGTTTGTTTGAAAGATTAAAATCCAATCTGGTGCCAGCTGATTCAGGAAATTTGATATTTTCTGATAAAATCTGCTGAAAGTTTGTTTAAGATAAATATTTGCACTGTTTATATTGTAAGGTTTTCTTTGTTCATTTTTTGTTACTTAGGCCTAAAAAGTTACCTGTGTTGGTCTTAAATTAAAGAAATTGGGAGAGAAGGGGTGGGGCAAAAAAAAGGTAGCCTACTACAAATTCTGATATTTTTCTTTTATCTATAAAAAGAAAAAACCTGGATCTAACTTTAAACTCCATGCGTCTTATTTCCTGTGATAAGAATCGAAGGTGACAATTTCGATCAACAATTAATTAAAACTGTCACAGTTAATTAGAAAACTTGTTAATTAACTCAAGTAAAATGAAGGGGGGGGGCTGAGGGCTGGATCATGTCAATTTATCAACCAATCAGTGACGTCGTTATAAACTCTTCTTTATGGCGTGAATCTAAACTCGTCTGTGATTGGTTGAAATGACGGCGCATGTGTAGAAGGTAAATGTAAACATTCGAGCCAGGTGCTTTGTGAACGGGTGGAAAAATGTCCACTGTGTCGTGTCCAAACTTTTAACTTGTGTTTAATGGCGATTAATCAATTAACTGGATTATAATTTGATTCTGAATGTGTTGGATTACATCTGACGATTTTTTTTCACAACTTTTTATTCAGTTTTAAAACTTTGTTAAGTGAAATAACTCGACAAAACAGCGCGCTCATTTGAAACGCAAAGTTTTCATTTTCTTTACCGTTTCAAAATGTCAACAAACTGAAAGATCGCATACTTTGAATGGATTAATTCGTTACTATGGGGAAAGACCAGGAATTACTGCAGGTTGTCAAAGACCAGGATATTCCAGCTTTGTCAAAATTACTTCAAAAAGTTGGAAAAAGTCCCAAATCAAGTAAGAAAACTTTCTTTTTGCAACTTTTTAAAAATTTATAATCGTCATAATGTCTCCAGAAAATCATTCGCCAGTCGTCAAGTCTAAAATTATCAAAAATAAGAAAGGTGACCTGAATTTGGCTGAGATATGTAGGTTGACATCCTCGCCAAAACTTCTATTTTAAGATGACATCAATCTTGCCAGACACTCAAGACATGTTAAACAACAATTTGTTTTGTTTGTCAACCGTTTGTTTGATGTCGGCTCAAAACTCATGTCTCAACTCATGCTAGAAAGTTTAAAACAAAATGAAATAGAGATCTTACCAGATCTATCAAGAAAAGCTGATAATGGTTATTTTGGGGGATGGAAATGAAATGCATTTTGTTGTTTGAAATGAATGTTAGAATGCAGGCCTATGTATTATAAGCTGATAGTTTTAATTGTGACACAAAATTGACACAAAAGGCAAAGGGTAGGCCTTCATATTTGTAAAATGCCTCATTTCTTCTCAGACACTCCCTGTACATTGACAAGATTATTTTTCTTCTGTTTGTTTGTGGCTTCAAAAACCCTAATTCTCCATTTTGACTGTGGGTTCATTCACCCTCCGAGCTGTTAGAGAAGGTCCTTCACCCCTACCCTGGTCAGCTGTCAGTGATGTCATGTCTTATCTTATATTATATAATCTTCTTTATAACTTTATAATGACTTCAAATTAATATTCTTATCATTCTTCATTCATTCATTCATTCATTCATTCATTCATTCATTCATTCATTCATTCATTCATTCATTCATTCTGTTCATTCATTCATTCATTCATTCATTCATTCATTCATTCATTCTATCATTCATTCATTCATTCATTCATTCATTCTATCATTCATTCATTCATTCATTCATTCTGTTCATTCATTCATTCATTCATTCATTCATTCATTCATTCATTCTATCATTCATTCATTCATTCATTCATTCATTCATTCATTCAGTCTGTTCATTCATTCAGTTGTGTGCACATTATCTTAGAGGACTGGGTATAGAACAGTAGGTTAGAATGTTGGAATACGATTGCTTGATTAGAACGTTCTAACTGTTCAGTTCTAAATTCCATGTTGACATTTCTCATTTCTTAAGTCATTTGTTCATTTTCATTTTGTAAAACTTTTCATTCATTTGATCATGTTCAAGCTTAGTGGCAACAATTTTAAGAACATAAGAATTTTAAGCTTTCTCAAAGAATTTTTAGTTTTGTCATTCATTCATTCATGCTTCTAATATAATGAAAACAATTTGTTAAGAACATAATAACTTGAAGAATTCATTCATTCATTCATTCATTCATTCATTCATTCACCAGTTTTAAATTCAATACATTCCATGTTGACATATATCAATTTGTTCATTTGCTAAAACTTTTCATTCATTCATTCATTCATTCATTCATTTTTCTGACAACAATTTGCTAGAACATAACTTACAGAATTCATTCATTTATTCACTCCTAATCATCCATTTACTCATTCCTCTCTGAGTAGTATCGAGTAAGAAGCCTATGGCTATTAGTCTATGACATATCCTATTACCCTCTAATAGTTTTATGTTTATCATATGATTATAATAAATACTGACGGACTGACTACCTGCCCTGGGGTACACAGTTTACTTTTTATTTCTTTACAGTAAATATTGACTGGGTTTGTTGGTTGGTGTAATTACAAACTTGGCTTGCCCTGATACTAGAGTCAAAGTATAAGAGTTTGTTTATGAGTTTAAATAATGACCGTGCGAAATTGCACTATATACAGAATGAAGTAAAAAAAATATATGGTTTGTGTAATATCGAGCTTGCCCTGATTTATCCAATTTACGAGGTTCAAAAATATATGAAAGTGACAACTTGTGAAATTATCATACACCAAATGAAGTAAAAACATAGAAATCATAACCAAACTTAAAAGTTATAAAGTCAAACAAAATAAACGTTAAAATAGTTTTGTGAATGGATTCCATAGTTACTGGGGCATTGTAAATTGATGATAACTACCCTACCCCTGGGGGCACAGACCTCAAGTAGCCTATCTCTCCGACCATCAGATAGATATAATACCTCTTTTACTACAATAACCACTGTTAAATTATTTGATGTTGTTTATAATGAGGTGTGAAATAAAATAAACCAGGACCAGGAAAGTGTAAATGATAACTGAAGGTGCTAAAGACAAAGGAAATAGATATTGAGATATTGTGTGTAGATTTCAGGTTTTACTAGTTTGAAACTAAACTGTTAAATTTATTAATGTTATTTGACCATTTATTGGTCACTTGTGTATAAATTACAGCTGTCGATTATGAGAAGATAAAGCCTATTTTGAAAAGGTTGAGAAGGGAATATAAGCTTATGTATATGAAGGAAAACAGCATTTCACAAAGGAGAGATATCAGTATACCTTGCCTTGAAACTCGTGAGTGGCCTGCATTATATCACAGTATTTTAAGGGCAACAATTGCTATTTCCGAGGTTGATAGGCTATGAATTGTAAGGTCTAATGGTTTTTATTTTGAAAAGGAAAATATTTTGATTTTCTCAAGGCCAAAGTTTTTATTATATTTATGAATAGACTTCAAAGTGAGACTGAGTTTCAATTTCACCTCAAATTAATTTTGCTGGGTTTTATAGTTTCTACTGACAAGTGAAAGTACTGAGAGTATGAGGATGTTTTTTATTATAAACAGATACTGGGGGGTCTGTAAGGGTGA